CTCTCGGGAGTATACTCCGACTTCCTAGCCAAATAAAACATATGACAATCTTCAAATCCTTAATCCACGCAGTTATACCCGCTAGTATGCCAGTACATCGGTCACCACACTGTTTAAAATTAAACTGTCATCGCTGTCTGAGCTTGCTGCTGTGTGCGCCATCGTGCGTTTACATGCAGATGCTGGGATCCTGAACGGTGCAGCTGGAGCGCTGTGCCCGCATTGACGTCACCCATAATTTGGCGGGACTTGAAGAATCCCCGAGAAGATCCAGGAAATGGTCAACATTGAAGGTCAGATTAATGGTTATCAAAGTACAAATATCCAAAATCAGTTCAGTAACGGTTTTCAAGGGGACAATATTTACTCAAATTGATGGGTTTGGATGATGGGGGAAAATCGTGTCACAGGCTCTTTAAGTTCCAATGAAAATAAAAAGGATACAGTGTGGCAGTGGGGGGGATTTGAGGTAACGTGCGTTTGTGACGTGCAACAACATGAACCTTTCTTTTGGTTGCTTGTTAGCAGACCTTTCAGGCGATGGCAGAGCGAACAGGTACAGGCTTTAGCTAAAATAATTTTTTTGTGATAGCCCTATAGTTTAAATCTACTACCCACACATAAACATATGGACATGGGTTACTATTTAAAACAAATTGTAAATGTATTTAGGAACCTGTCCATGTGATTTTAAGTGGGGGTGGGCCTCAAATCCTCTAGGGGGGTCCGGTAAGATTTTTTTTTTGGACTTAAATGCATCAATTTGGTGCATTTTGAGGGGAAAATAAAGAGACTAGATCTATGGGAACATCTTTATGAAACAGAACTGTATACATTTCAATAATCATAAAATCATGGCCATAACCAATAAAATCCCATTTCCAATATGAAAAAACACTGAAACTTATTTATTTTTGGTTCATTTATATGTGTGAGTGTGTCTGTGCTCCTGAATCAGCCTCACCTGTCTCCCTCCTCTCCCCCCTGCTCCTCTTTGAGGCAGCAGCAAAGACTAGTTTTAGCTCTCAACAAGTTTTTTTTCAACTTTTTTCACCTAGTTAACTTTTTTAAATTCATGCATATTTTACTAATCACTACACCCTCAAATGGAAATATGTGTTTACATAAATGGTGACCAAACCGTTTGAGACCCACAGAGAACTTAGACTAAGTTAACTATCTAAACACTCAAGAGAGTCCTTTACCTCACCTGAGCTGAGGTTATCCCGAGCTTGAATGACACACAGAGACCAATCAAGGGCTTTGATTTATGATCTGTATGACAGTGGCCATGTCGGCAGGCCACATCATGTAGACAGCCAGTCACCCTGTGTGAGGCAGGCCACTTAACAGGCCAGGCCATCGGGAAACCCCCCGGTCCTCCCAATGGCCAGTCCGGGACTGGGTACAGGAGGCGTAGAGCGAGGGATCATTGTCCACAAGTTAATCGATCGCAGATGGCGTTGTGGTCGCGGACACAAAAAAAATAAATTAAAAAAGCGAAATGGGTGATGAAATATACCTGGGCGGCCGTTAATATACCTGGGCGGCCCGCCCAAGTATAGTCTATGTGTGGGGAACCCTGGGATATTAAAAACAAAAATGAAGAATATGTGCACCTGTTTTGCGTAAGGTGTCGGCAGGACCCTGCTCGAAGATGGAGTGAGACTGGATGGTCTGCGGCCTCTCTCTCCTCCTCCCCCTGCTCTCCCTCTTCCTCTCATCCCTCTCTCTCTTCTCTTTTTTAGGAGCCGCTCTGATCTCTTCCTTTAACCTGGGGTAGATTCAGACATGACCATAGGCATCATTTATACTGAGGACACTGGGGAAATGTCCCCACCATTTTGCATTAGGTCCTTTGATAAAGTAATCTGAAAACAGCGTGCTCAAAGAATTGTACACTTCAGAAGTGATGTACACTTTTATTTGCACAAGAGAACATGTACAATCTCGAGGACTGTTCACACTTTTTGGGTGTATGTCTGCTAACCTAAGTGGTGCAATTTGGACCAGTGACAGGTTTAATATAAATAAGAATTGAATAGAGAATAGCTTTGCAGCAGTGTAAGCATATGTATGTATTTATATATCAGAAATATGCTTACAATACTTTTTTTTACATTATTTATGTATGCAGTAGTGTTTTTTTTTTTATCTCAAAAAAGTGTCCCCACTACTTTTTCTAACAAAGTGAAGCCTGTGGACCTAACATTTATAATCATTATACACTAAAAACTAACAGCAAAAAATAATAAATACTGTTAAACTTATATTACTAAACAGGACACTGAAATTATATTGTTAAGGCCACTCACTCATCTTTGTTTTTCCTCACAGCGTGGACATTTGGCTCAAAGCATTTCTGAATAAGAGCACAATGAGGAAAGAAAAATATTGTTAATACCACATATCTCTTTTTTGGGATCCAAACATGCACTTGCAATTAGCCTCTACAGTAAAATAAGAATCTGAGCACCCCACTACCTGTAATTTGAGGATATGTGTTCTATCAAAAAGCACAATGTTTTTCTTCCAAATTGTAGTGGAGTAGTATTAATTATTCTGAGATGGAAATACTCAAATCAAATAAATACATCTCAAATGTGTATTTAACTAAACCTACTTGAGTATGTACTTTCAAAAAATGCAGTAGGCTACTGCCAGTTCACCTAGCAGTGAAGAGTATATGAGACTACCTTAAGTTAATTTAACTTAAGTTACTTACCTCATTTAGTTTAAGACATGTCTTATTTAATTTGACTCTAACATTTGCTGATTTTTTAAGATAACATTGTGTGGTGCCTAGTCTGTCTAATACTGAAACAAATCCTATAGGCATTTCATTAAGACAAACATATGACCACATGTTTCAAAAAGGTGTATCATTCATTACCTTTGGTTTCTTAAAGACTCCCCCCAGTGTCAAGTCCCTTGTTCTGAGCGAGGTCAGTCTTGCAGGGGGGGCGGGGGAGGACAGACTCCTTACCCGGCCTAGTAGTCCTCTGCCCGTTGGGAAACTCAGCCCTGTCTCGCTGCTGAGGCCGGAGCAGCCGGGAACACTGGCTGTGTCATCAGAGTCGGTCATTCTGTGTGTCTGGACCTCCTTTTAATATTCTATTGTTTTAATGCCTGTTAGTGAGGCGTGTCCCATAACAAAACACCCTGTTTTATTGTAAACATAATCATTAACGTTACATAATTTGTGCTTTTATTCTGGAATGAATCCGTCTATGAGTTTAATGTATTTATGTGTAACTATGTCTCTCACAGAAACAGTTCAATAACACTCGCTGTTAAACTAAGCCTGGTCCATGGTACAGACAACTTAGCAACCTCCATTTTGTTTGCAATAGCGATATCAAAACAGAGTGCATAGACATGTAAAACTACACTCTCAATGACAAAAACGTTTCAATTTAGCAAACCGGAACACGAAATGTTATGAGCAGACTCCTGGCAGACTCCAGTTATTTTCGGTAGCCTTGCACTGCGCGGTATATCCTACCTGTCGGCTGCATACAAATAAAGACTTCTTCACATCGTCTTGGTAGTTAACCCAGCGGAATATCCTGTCTGTGGTTGGAGAATATCATGAAAGGCTGAGTAAAACTACAGAAAATACTAAAGCAGTTAGTACCACTGGTTTCGTTTTGCCGCCTGTTTTTCTAGTTTAAATGGATAGTGGCTATTTTCCTTCCGTAGTCAACTGCGTTGCCATTGTTTTTCTTATACTGTACTACACAGACTGATACACAAGATGGAGCTGTTTGTCTCCTGTGGGAGATGTGTTCCATGACAAGGTGGTCAAATCAAAAATAATATTAGAAGTTACCAGTGGTGGTGAAATTACTCATATTTTTTACCTACCCTACTACCTAAAGTAGAAATACTTTTAAAACTGCTCCGTTACAATCCATTTATACGAGAAAAAGAGCTTGACTTTCAAAATCTTACTTACAGTTTTTTTCAGTTGCTAACACAAAAATCTCACATAAAGGCTAGCCTAATAATTTTTTTAACTGTGGAGTCTATCTTCATATAACATTAGAAAGACTGATACTTATTATTACATTCTAAGCGTATTGTGCTCATTTATGTGGATGTGACTTTGGAATAAATAGACTCAATCCCCCCCCCCCAGTTTTGATGGGGAGGAAAGGAACAAAGGGAAAAGTTACATGAGAAAGTGTTTGTAATATTCATGGGTGGGATTCCTTAGTCGTGCGGGAGGGGTCTGCAGTTCGGTGGACTAACCCCTAGTTTCCACCAGGTCCGCCTGCGGCGCGTTACGGCTGCGCCGCGGTTTTGGTCCGGCCTCCTCCGGCATCATACCCTACCGGGCGCGTTTCACGAGCGTTTCAGAAGCATTTCGCAGTTCTTGTTGATTTGGGGGGTGGGCCGGATGCTGTCACCGTTCCACTTCCTGCCCGACATTACCTTACGGCTGCGTCGCGTCGAAAAATAGAATTCAATCCTATTTCGAGCGGAGCCCAGCGGCGAGACGCTTCTGGGACGCTTCTGAGCCGTAACGCGGCGCGTCTGGTGGAATAGCACCCATTGACTAGAGTGGCCACGATCCTTGCGGACGCCGCGGCGCAGCCGCAACGCGCCCGTAACGCGCCGCAGACGGACCCGGTGGAAACTAGGGGTAAGGATTGCGCCACTGCTTTTTGCAGATGATGTGGTTCTAATGGCTTCATATGCGACCTTCAGCACTCACTTGATCGGTTCGCAACAGAGTGTGAAGCAGCTTGGATGAGGATCAGCACCTCCAAATCTGAGGCCATGGTTCTCAGCAGGAAACCGATGGACTGTCCACTCCAAGTAGGGAAGTGAG